GAGAGAGAGAGAGATAACCAACATGCCGGCGTTCATCACAAGCCTGATAAATCCAGCGTCGACTTTACTAGACTATGAAAATCCTACAGATTTGCTATTGTGCAACTTATACTGCAAAGATTAATTTATGATGCAAATTAGGAAACTTCCAAGGAAAGTTCTGAGGGAAGGCTCTCTCTTTGGATTCTCTTTAATTTACAGAAATAAATCAGAAGCTTAATCAAAGAAAGAATCAAGATTAAGTAAACTGAGATTAACTTTCTGAGATTAACAGTTAATTCAGATAGCAATTATTACCAGACCACTAAAAGTCAATACCTTATTCATTTATCTTTAGTAAATCTTTTCCTATTTGTAGAAGTTTTATTCCCACGTCGTCGCGTTGAGAGTCGATATCTTTGTTATTTATTCGATTAGCAATAATAGTAATTCGTGCACAATAGGTTATTTTATACCACGTTACCTTAGGAGAATCTTTAAATATACAATAATAGTATTTATCGGATAATAATAGTATTTATTTGCTCAACGATAATAACTGAAACGAGACTTTTTAGTTTGCTTTCAGTTTTCTTAAACAATACTTAAAGTTGTTTGTAAAAGCTATCTAATGATTTAATGTGTTTACATCTAGAGTGTGATGGATGTTATTTTCCAGGTAATACGTATTTACTGCTCTGACGTTCACAATTACGGTCATAATAGGGAGGAGGGGGATCGACACTTCGATAATTCAATACCCCAGCCAATAATGTTTCATCCGAAAGGTCATTATCGATACGTGTCGTTGCAACTCAAATTATTTGATCGAAAAAATTTGCATTTATTTAGAAGTCTAACGGGAATATTCTCAAGATATTTTCTATAAATCACAACGTGAAATACGGATATTACAATAATTTAATACATTTGCCTGTTTTGCTTTTAGATATTTTTAACATTATTGAAATATTTAAAAATAAAAGATTCTTTCTTATAAAATAGCTAATAAATTACTTATTAAATATATTTGTTTTCTAAGAATGCTTCTTATTTTTCAAATTTATCATTTCATTTATCATTTATTAATTTAAATTTATATCAAATAAAAAAATCACTGTTATTTTTATATTTTATTTTACGATTATTATAACGTTTAAAGTTTATTTTACTGTTTCTATAAAAAGTTAAGTATATATTTTTTTAAAGGGTTTCTTTTATTGTAATTTAATAGGTGAAACGATTTGCCAGTGGAGAGAATAGAGAAAAATAGCACAATAAGGATTCTCCAGCGAAATTGGATAAAGTTTGTAGATGCAATAGTTTGTGAAAAACTCAAGATAAACCTCATGTTAAACATGTTCTTGTTTGCCCTATCTACGCCCTATTGAAGCGCAAACTTAATCTTGCATATAGAAAGGTATTCTTGAGATTTTATAAAATTTATTGTTGTAATATTTGTGTTCTATAAAAGTACAAGCATTTTATAAAAGAAAGAAGAACTTTACCTGTTCCACTTCAATAACATCTCCACTGTCCTCAAGTACCGTCGAATAATGCGATACTTCTGCAACAGAGAGCAAAGGAATATAATTTGTAAAATATGTTCATATTCCATTTATTTTATTATTATTATATGCATGTAGAAATTTTTTAGAATAAATAAATACTATATATAATATATATATACTATAAATAATATATATATATATATATATATATATATATATATATTAT